CTATATTATTATAATATAATATAATTATATTTTGGAATGTTTTTGTACAGTGTCCGGCAGGAATAACTCTCATATCAGCTAAATGAAGATACCATTGTGACTAATGTCATACTATTATGTGAGAAGGAGGTTGAGTTTGTTTATCGACATATAAACCTCTGAATGTTATTTAATGCCAAAATCTAAATATTTTGAACGCAATTGTATGCCGTCAACTACAAATGTTTTGTACATGATTTTATATTTCGAGTTTAAGCGGATGTTTTATTGACATATAGTTTGGGTTGGTTGAATTTGTTTAACAGCATATTAACACCTCTGTGGGTTATTTAATGCCAAAATCTAAATATATTGTACTTAATTTTATGCTTTCAACTCCAGAGATTTTGTACATAATTTTATACTTTTAGAATAATGGTAATTTTTTATATATATATATATATAGTTTGTAGATCATGAAATGTACTGTTAGTAATTTTACTATAAAAATGTATTTTTCTAATTTTTCAGTGTTACATTGATTGTAATTTTGCGATAAAATGTATTGTCGCTCATTTTATTACAAAAATGTTGCGTTGATTTTTTATTTTGGGGTTCATTATTTGCCCATAGCTGGGACCCCTAACAGGTGCTACCACCCGGAGTCAGGGTGGACCTGAAAACAACAGTAAATTTCTTAAATAAAAACGCTATTGAGTTCACCCACGGCCTCCAGACGACTTCGAAATCTCTTTCAACTCTTCTGGTTGGTCTCCTTATTTATGTTGATGAATGCAGCCATAATCGTTGCCTTCAGTTCATCTTTGGTGTCACAAGGAGTTTTGTTCGTCTCTCGCTCAACTGCGCCCCACCCATAATAATCAAGGGGGTTACAGTCTGGGGAGTTAGGTGGCCAGATATAAGGGGTGATGTGGTTGCAGAAATTGTCCGACAACCATGACTGCGTTCTCCTGCTTGTGTGGCATGGTGCAGAGTCCTGTTGCCAGATATAGGGTCATCCAGCAGTCACTCCCTTGACCAAGGCACTCGATGTAGGCCGGCATGTTGAGTCTAAGGCCCTGTGGGAAGATGAATGGAGGCATAACGTCGCCATCACTAATGATAACTCCAAACACCTTCGTAATCACCATTAGACTCATCCAACTCATTCTGAATCCTCTGCACTGACCTTAGATTGACTCCCAAACACTGTGAAATGATCGCATTGGAGCTTTCGGCGCGAATGCCAAGCAATACAGTATGCTGTTTCCAAATTTCTGGCAGAGGGAATTACGTCATTGTGTTCTCTTTCTCATAGACGGTGCCCAACTGACCCTACTATACTCTGTAGTCAACAAAATCAACAACAAACAACGCGCGCGCGCAAAATTAAAAATATAACATAAAAACAATTTACCCACCGCAGCCTGTATTTTATCGTCATACCCAGGGCGATATGCACCCAATATATATATATATATAGATAGATATATATAGATAGATATATATATAATTTTTGTATTTTAGGCAGCAATCCTTCTTTTATGCACATTTCATTGAATACGACAGACAAGGTGTTTTTATTTAGTTTTTTATACAATTTCTCATGCGATCTAGTAATTCTTTTTTCTTTTCGAGTGATAAATTATATAAAAACTGTCCGAATGTTCTTTTTATCCGATCGCTTTCGGCTATACATTTAGCCATTTTAAGGATTAAATATTTTAACTGTTAAATAAGAAATAGTTAGTTGTATGTTTGTGTTATAAAATGTTTTCATTTTTTTCAAAACACGGTCAAGATATTGTGTCCATGTTCAAAGTTAATATTATATATATATATATATATATATATATATATATATATATATAATGCAGTAGCCAGGTACTGCACTCACAACTCCTTGGTTCAAGTAACTGGATCCAACCAACGCCTTTATCCACGAGGCCATGTGTCCTCAAGTGAAGAACAAAGACTTTGAATTAAAGGGAGATAACTGAGTTATCCGGAAATGTCATGATACGTGGAATTAGAACAATATACCTCAGTAGACAAAATAAAGGTTTCGATTCGAAATTCTAATCACCTGAAGAAGGCCAGAGCGAACGACGGCCGAAATGACGTGAATATGGAAATAAAGATGAGAACAATAGTCCGAATAATGTAAATAAGCGTTTTCTTTATTTTACTTTTTTCTTTATTATTTAATTTATTTATTTGTAACCAGGCAAAACATGGGCTGGGAATTCTCCTCTCACCTATCACCATTCTTTATACCTCTTAATTCCTTGGCGAACATAGGGACGCAACAACACGTTTCCAACGGACGCGGTTCCGGGTGATCCGCTTCAGCTGGGCCCATGTCGTGCCGGCTGCCTTTACCTCTAACACTTCTGTGCCAAGTTTGTTTTGGTCGACCCCCTTTTCGCTTTCCTTGTGGATTCCAGTCAAGGGCCTGCCAGGCTTGCGGGGTGTGTGGCCGATCCATTGTCTACCTTGGAATTGTCGTTAATAGAGATGTTTTTTTGGGGGGCGCACATGAAGACAACAAGTGCCAAATCAACAAAGTCCAACATGCTTTCAACACTGCAGCCAATCTGGAAGGTATTGAAATACAACGCTTTTTTTCCCTATGTTGTTAATGTTAAATGTTATTTTATTATTATTTATGCGTCTTAATTCCTTGGGGAACATAGGACCGCAACAAAACGTCTCCAGAGGACGTGGTTATGGGGGAACCTTTTCAGATTAGCCCATGGCGTACTGGCTGCCTTCACATCTGCGGCAACACATCTGCGCCAAGTCTGTATGGTCGACCCACTTTTCGCTTCCCTTGTGGATTCCAGTCAAGGCCCTGCCTGGTAACACTAGAAGCAGTCTTGCAGAGTGTGTGGCCGATCTATTGTCTACCTGGGAAGCGTCGTTAGTAAAGATGGTCGGGGGCACATGAAGACAACAAGTGCCGAATCAACAAAGTCCAATATGCATTCAACACTGCAGCCAATGTGGAAGGTATTGAAATACAACGCTTTTTTTCCCTATGCTGTTAATGTTAAATGTTATTTTATTATTATTTATGCCTCTTGGTTCCTTGGGCGATATAGGACCGCAACAATACCTCCCCAACGGACGCGGTTCCGGGCGATCCTCTTCAGCTCGGCTGGTTTCTTTCCCGGGGGATTTTCACCAGGACGCGTCATACGCTCCACTTTAGAAGACTCTTCGTCGGCAATGTCGTTGTTTGAAGATATTATTGAGGTTCCTGGAACAAGTTAGTTTTTAAGTGGGTAGGTTGCTAGCCTACTGCACAACACCCAACCTGGAGTCGAGAGCCAGAATCATCTGCCATTTTCACAAGAAATTACCATTTATTCCTTTCGCTATAGAATTCTTTTCTGAGAATTGTTTTCTAGTTATTTTGCTGGTATAAAGTTCTGTTGGGATGGAATTATGAAAAAAATGGCTGTAGCATAAGACGACTAATATATTGTTTAATAAATACCGAAAATATTTTTAAAAATGATTTTCTTGATTTTCTTCTTGACTCCTTAATTTGATACAGCAATCAATTATAACTTCCTCTTTAACTGTCCTCATTTATCTCTTTAATGTCAGTCAGTCAGTTATGGGCCGTGCGTGATGTGCCATTAGTTATGTGCCATCGCTTAGGCGATCATGTATCTTTTGATACATAATTGACGAGGCAGTTCGTTGCCATTTCATTCTGCAGTAGACCAGTTACCATCTAAGGCTATAGAACCTAGTCCTGCTATTTAACAATAGCTAGGGGGAAAAGAAGAGGATTCATATCTTTTCCCAAAGATATGAATTCGACTAGAAATCGAACTCGGCTCTCTGATTCCACAATCCGTGACGCTATCCATTACTGTTATGGTCCAAGGTTAGGACCATGGAAGAACAACACGAACACAAAAGTAGAAATAACAAAGAATATATTACACGAAATATATAAGTGGAAGGTGTCAGTATGACTGTCAGACTGGTTTGGAGTGAACTACTATCAGCTCGACTCGATTCAATAGCGATATTTAACAGTCAACCCACGAGAAATGTATGTGGTACAAGGCCGAGTTTAATGTGGGTTTCGCTGAGCCCGTAGGTTCGGCCAAAAATATACCCTTTGAACCCGCCTAGACGGGTTCAGGGTCGGTCTACCTCCCCAGACGAAACTTTGCCCTTCGTCCGGGCAAAGCAGAGGGTTGACCCGATTCAACACCGTCCGTCGCTCTTGAGAGGCGTAGTATATATAGCGTTAGGAAGAGTTCATTATGTCGATCTAGGTAAGAACCAATGACAATAACTCCACCGTTCCCATTTTGGAAACGTTGCAGGGTAACGGATGTTTTTCCTAAACATATAATTTATGGATTTCAAAAAAAAAAAATAATACCAGATTTTATTTGAAATTTTATAATTAGCATTGGATTTTAGTTTTAAATTCTTATAACAAATACCGTATTTTATCGCGGGTATTAATGGTAATATCTGTAAATACTGCATTGCTATAACTCGTCTTATGAAATATAGCGGAGTGATTTCCAGTTGTCTTCTTCACAGTTTTGGTTTCAGAGGTATATATTTATCATGACTCTATATCTCTGAGATGATGTATTATGATTACTCACATTATTTACATTATTCCAACTGTTTTCTTCATCTTCATTGCCATATTCTCAACGTTTCGGCCGTTGTAGGCTCCGGTCCTTTTCAGATGACTGGAATTTCGAACCGAACCCTTTATTTTGTCCACCGGTGTAGATTGTTCAAGTTCCACGTGGCATGCCTCTTCCGGGTGTCTCAGTTATTTCCCTTTACCCCAACTCTCCAAGATTTAACTTCACCACTGCTGTGGCCTGGTATTGAACTCACAACTCTTTGGGTCTAGTCACTGGATCTAACCAACGTCTTTTCCCACTGGGCAGTGTATTTAGTTATATGACTGTTTGTAACACCCTGAATATTTAAATCATAAGTCCTGGTTTAAAAGAGATGACGCTATAATGGCTGACAGTCTTTCTTTAACCGGCTCCTCTAGTGCATTATTTTGAAAACATAAGTAATTCGAAAGCATCAGTTTTGAGCCATCGTCTGATCTTTTTATATATTGCAAACAAGAAATCAACTTACGTTAGGGTATTATTCCGAAACTTATGACGCTTAGACTATTAAAGTGTCGATCTTGACACGTTGACTGTTGGAGAGTTAATATAAAAGGGCCAGACAGGCGGAAGTTTAATTATTAAGATGCCAATTATTTACTGCCTTGTTCACAGGTTTTAATGTCGTGAAAAAAAAATGGCGAACGCTGAAAAGATTTATTATCCATCGGTTAGATGAAGTCGTAAATAGTTGAACGAACGATTCGCCTAAGACGATTCTAATTTTCCTGTACACTATGTGTTTGTAACCTTAAGAAGTGGAAAAAGTATTCGTTGAGGTGTCGGCTGCATTTTTTATGCTTCGAGAAAGATTAAGGTTTAAACTGATACAAACACGACGTAGCTTCAAAATGTTGCAAGTCCAAGATTGCTGAGAAGCTGACATAGATATTATGTTCATTGAGAAGGCGAAGAATTAAGAATGCAGGGCGAGAGAAAATGTATGATTGGTTAAACTAAAATTTCCCGAAGAGAAAGACTGACCGCCTTTTAATTTAAAAAAGGCATATACAATAGTATTGTTTATCGAATGAACACGCTTAACCAACAATAATATTTTAAATGAAGAAAAAAGCACAGTAGATGCCAAACAAGAATTGTTTTATAACTGTAATGAAATTAGAGCAAAAGAAGAAAATATTCATTCCCCCAACTGATTTCCCCCGTTATGAGTATTATTATATCCGTTATACGATAACAAAGTAGTTCTCGGACAGGAGGGAACGGAATGGGTGAAAGAAAAAAGAATGACAAACAGGCTTTGTTCTCTGAGAGACTTTTATAATACTAAGACATACACAAAATTTCATATATATACATACACGTGTCTCACGCAGAGAATAATATATCACAAATATCTGCTCAGCAAAGCAAACTATAAGGAAGAACAAAAAGGAAAGGGTTTACATATAATTTGGAGATACTCCTGACCTGGAGACGCCATTTTCTTATATCGCAGTGAATGCTTGACAATTTCCTCACAGACAAAGAGACTTGATACAACAGAGATGTGGTTCTATATAAGATGCTGAGAATACCATGGACAGAGCATGTGAACAACAAGGAATGTTTAAGGAAAATTTAAAACAAAATTTGTACTGACAATCAGAAACAGTCAAAACTTTTGGGACATATCATGAGGAAAGAAGGTTTGGAGAATTTAATACGTATAGGACATATTGAAGGCAAGTGGATTAGAGGGAAACACCAAGTAATCTACCTAACGAGTTTGTCTGAGTATGGCAGAACAAAGACTAGGCATATAGTAAAGGAACAAACTTTATTTAGAGATGCAATCGATAATAAGTTGTGAAGAGCTATTGCTGTCCACGTGCTAAAGGGGCGCAGCACATAAAAGAAATGTAGGTTCTAGTGATGAAAAAAGCCTGTCTACTATGTCTAAGGAGTGGTAGTAGTATTGACTTACTGGTTGTTAAACTTAACCTAGTTTAAGCTCCTTGCACTCTAGTTTACGGTCCTGTATTCCAGTCGTCATTGATGTTAGATAAATAAGATCATGTTTTTGGTTATTTATAATTTTGAAAGAGGTTCCAAGTATTTGGGAATATAGAATATTTTCATTAGACAATAAATTAGATTATAAGTGATGTGACCTGTTTTCAGCTACGTCAGAACTTAGCAGCAGCTGTCAAAACTTAAATAGTGTTTTTGAGTGATGTGTCTACAAACCTAAAAATTTCTTCTTTGCACTGACATCACACTCAAAATCTCAAGTCGTCTAATGTTGTGGTGCTAACAGTGGCGTCAAAATTTTTCATTTTCACAGTGAATCCTCTTATCTGCGAATTCTTACAGTTTCAGTTACACGCGATCAAATATAGACATAATTACTAAGTTGTATTTAATCAATCAGTTAAGTACAATATAGGAGTAAATATCGTAAATACGATATTTACTCCTACAGTTGGAGATTTGTCTCCAGATGTGCTGGGCAAACTCTCTACCTCCGAGTAGAGAGGGTCCCCAGAGAAAGGTTCTGTCGAAGGGCAGAGTCTCGTCTCGGGAAACAGATAACCGACCCTGTTTTATACGGACGGGGTCTACGGGGAATTTTTGGCCGAGCCTACGGGCTCGGATACGCCACATTAATTTCGGCCTTGTGCCACATCTGACTGGGTGCGGCGGTTCGCAGATATCCTGCAGTTGGAGATTCGTCTCCAGCTATGCTGGTCAGACTCTCTGCCTCCGGATAGAGAGGATTCCAACATGAGGCTAGGTCGAAAGGCAGAATCTCGTCTCGGAAAACAGCTAGCCAACTCCGTTTTATACGGAATTTACGGGGAATTTTTAGCCGAGCCTACGGATTAAATTCGGCCTCATATGACAGCGTGGGACGGGTTGTAGATATCCTGAAGTTGATTCATTGTCGGATTCATTTGACTCACTTCTAGCACTTGACTATTTCTATGTGTTGTTCGTGTCTTAATTATTATCGTTCATTCCCAACCTTCTTGTGATTATTGTATTTAGTAACCTTTCCTAAGTTAAAACATTTTGGCGATGAGGATTAGCAAAACTTATAACACTATCTATCCATCCATCTATCCGTCTGTCTATCTGCCTGTCTATCTATCCGTCTGTCTATCTGTCTGTCTGTCTATCCCTCCATCTATACGTCTGTCTATCAATCCGTCTATCCGTCTGTCTGTCTGTCTATCTATTCCTCCCTCTATCCGTCTGTCTATCTAGACGTCTGTCTAACTATCTGTCTATCTATCCCTCCATCTATCCGTCTGTCTGTCTGTCTATCCGTCTATCCGTCTGTCCGTCTGTCTATCTGTCTGACTATCTATCCCTCCATCTATCCGTCTGTCTATCTATCCGTCTATCCGTCTGTCTAACTATCTGTCTATCTATCCCTCCATCTATCTGTCTGTCTGTCTATCCGTCTGTCAATCTACCCGTCTGTCCGTCTGTCTATCTGTCTGACTATCTATCCCTCCATCTATCCGTCTGTCTATCTATCCGTCTATCCGTCTGTCTAACTATCTGTCTATCTATCCCTCCATCTATCTGTCTGTCTGTCTATCCGTCTGTCAATCTACCCGTCTGTCCGTCTGTCTATCTGTCTGTCTATCTATCCGTCTATCCGTCTGTCTATCTGTCTGTCTATCTATCCGTCTGTCTAACTATCTGTCTATCTATTCCTCCATCTATCCGTCTGACTATCTATCTCTCCATCTATCCGTCTGTCTATCTATCCGTCTATCTGTCTGTCTAACTATCTGTCTATCTTTCCCCCCCCATCTATCTATCTATCTATCTATCTATCTATCTATCTATCTATCGTGATTTTATTTACATACTTAGTATCTGCACACTATGCCTATCTATATTAATACCGCTTCAGATTGTCATTCTTCTAGATAGGTTGCCAACCAAGGATAGAGAACCCCGTCTGCCCTGCTATTTCATCCATAACTGGGAGAGATTTGTGCAAAACTGAGTATAACTTACCCTACCTGAATTTGAACTTGACTCTAAATCTTAATAATATAAACGTCACAGTAATTAAGTAATATCATGAATTAAAAACACTTATTATGAATTAAATGTGGTTGTTACACATTTCTAGTTTAATTTTCCATGTGCCGTGTCCTTTAAAGGCGTAGGCGATCATGGTTCTCCACAATTTCCTGTCCTTTGTAACTCTTAATAAATTTTGTCTTTTTTTTTTTCTCTTAAACCTTGTTCCGCCATCCATTTACCCACGCTCACTCGGTAGATTCTGCGTTGTCTCCCGCTGACCCTCTAACCTTCAATCTGCCCTGTGAGTATCAAATTTTCAAGCCTTCTTACCTTATTATGTGCACGAGAAAATCCAACTGTATCTCTCTTTTAAGTATAAGTGACTCTGTTTCTATTTTTTCTAAAGTTTTGTCGTTGCTCAGATGTTCGGTTCATGGTATTCTTAGCATCCTACTGTAGAACTAAATTTCTGCTGCTTCAAGTTTCTTCCTTATCTGTGAGATTTACCGGCATTCACATAGGGGGGGGGGAGTGATATTACGGAACAGTTCAGTACTCTTTTCTATGTTTCTAATGAAATATTATTGTTTCTTAATACGTTGCTTAGCTTTTGGAAGGCATGTTTCGTTACTGCTATTTCCATTCTTTTTTTTTATAGTACATTGTTAATAACTTGTATCTAAATTATGAATTGAACTTTATCAGATATATGTACGTCTTGGAAAAATCATAGTTCATAGAGTGTTTGGTATAATCCGTGATTTCAGGTATCTGTTGGGTACCTAGGAATAATATACCTCGCGTTTAAAGCCGATGCTGTATGATTGGATATGCGGGTGTTCTAATCGATAATGGCTCGGAACTGTAAATCAGGGAGCCATGTTCCACTTCACGTTAGTTTTTTTTTATATGAACTTATAGGCACATACCTTTGGGAAAGGTGTGGATCCACCACTTCTACCCCCAGCTATGGGTTAATTAGTAAGACTTGTACCACTAAATCATTTTTATCCCAGCCCACCCCTCCAAAAAACTCCGTACAATCTGAAATATCTTTCTCGTTTTAAATAACCTGCAAATGTCTGTCTATATCTCTGAGATGAGGTATCATGATTACTTGCATTATTTACATTATTCGTACTGTTATCTTCATCTTCGCTGCCATATTCACAACATTTCGGCCGTTGTACACTCCGACCTTCTTCAGGTGATTGGACTTTCGAACCGAACCCTTTATTTCGTCCACCGTGGCAGATTACTCTAGTTTCCCCTGTCATGCCTCTTCTTGGATGTGTCAGTTATTTTTCTTTAACTCAACTCTCCAAGTTTAGATTCAGTGACTAGACCCCAAAAGTTGTGAGTCCAAGCCACAACAGTGGTGAACCAAAAAGTTATGGGTTGTTTTGTAGGTCCCCTGAGAGTATTGCCGTATTGTGGTATATGTAGGATTGAATGATGATGGATGAGTTCTTGTGGTGGATGTGCAAATTGTAATGAACGAATGGGTCGTGAATCTGATTAACTAAGGTATAAGATAGTGTTCATCAACCTCAGCCCATTCCCCTTTTTTAGGCTTAGTGCCACAATTGTATTTTATATACAATAAATCTCGGAATTTAGATGTGTTATTGTCGTACATGTTGGATTGGATGAAGAAAGATTGGTTCTTGTGGTGATTGAGTAAATTGTTAGAGTGAATGTGTCGTTTTCTTTTCGTTTCGTTTCGGTTAATTTATGGCATATCAAACTCAATGAGTTTTTTAATGCCGACAAAATTTTTATTGTTGGTAATATCTTTTTTTTTCAAAAATCTATTTCTGGTAATATTTTTTCTTCAAATATGTGTCGCTGGTAATATTTTTTCAAAAAAATGTATAGCCGGCAACACTTTTTTTTCTCCAAGATGTGGCAAGATTCTTTTCCTTCCTTTTTTTAAAAAAAAGTTCTGCTAGTAATACATTTTTTTAAAAAAATGTATAACCTGTAATATTTTTTTTAAAAAATATATCGCTAGTTTAGTTTAGTTTGGTTTGTCCTGTCTTAATGGGCTATCCAACGCCGACAAAACTTTCACTGCTGGTAACATCTCCTTCCAAAAATCTATTTCTGGTAATATTCTTTCCTTCCAAAAATCTATTTCTGGTAATTTTCTTTCCTCCCAAAAATCTATTTCTGATAATATTCTTTCCTTCCAAAAATCTATTTCTGGTAATATTATTTCCTTCCAAAAATCTGTTTTTGGTAATGTTCTTTCCTTCCAAAAATCTATTTCTGATAAAAATTATTATCCTTCTCCGGTAATATTTTTTTTTCAAAAGTTTTTTTGGTAACACCATTTTTTTCTAAAAATCAATTGCTGTCAACACTTGTTTTTCAAAAATGCAAAGCTGGCATTATTTGCCCTTCAAAAATGTAAAGCCGGCATTATTTGCCCTTCAAAAATGCATAGTCGGCAACATTTCTCTTTAAATGTATTGCTGGTAATATATTTTTTACAAAGTATTTCTGGTATTAAAACCTTTTTTTTTACACCTTCATAGTGTTTTGATCTCAGTTTCGGGGTAAACTATTTGCCTAACGGGTGCTACCACCCCAGGTCATGGTGGTCCTGGGAAAACCAGCAATTAAAAGATAGTTCCACGCTCCTCAAAACCTCCTGATCAGAGGTCTTGCTGTTGGATGTAGTTTATCGTCTTACCCAGGACGGGAATGCGACGTGAGTCGGATTAGCTAGGTGTAGGATAGACAGTGCTGAGCAGCAGTTTTTACCTTGCTTTCCCTTCGGTTTTGTGCCACAAATTGATGTAACCACATTACTTAAATAAATACTAAGCATACCATATATGTGTCACAAAGCCGAAAGTATGAAGCACCCACTGAGGGTAGAACTCACTACTCAGTCGTAATTTTCTACATTCTCGGCAATACGCATCGCTTCTCGGCGATGATCGATACGTCATATCTGTTCTTGCCATTTTACAAGAGAGAAGGCACCTGGGCCCGGGGATCCCGATCTAGCATCAACACCTCCCTCATTGCACCAAAAGAGGTAGGGTCGAAGGAATATCGACGACAACGCGAAGGCAGCCTCACCTAAAAAATCAAAACTGTGTTATATCTTGCCACCACGGAGAGACGAGTTAAAAATCTTTTGGTAAAGGTTTAAACTCAGGGATGGATTTAGCTAATGGGGAATTGTAGTATATGTTATAAATAAGTCAAAATATTCAAAAAGTACACATAAATCTCAAGTAATAAATATATTGACTAATTATATTTTTGTGATGTCAACGAACACTCGTTGCCACTTTTGTAATGCCAACGAATACTTGTTGTCACTTTCGTAGTTCTCATTGTAGTAGAGACTTTGTAATCGCAGATACAACTATAGTGAAGCCGTTGAACAATACTGGTGTCAAATGCCTTCGAATAACACTCGCACTAATAATACTTGCTTAATAATACTCGCTCGAGAAGTAACCCGTATAGTGGTCTGAATAGAGGAATAGTATAGTAAATAGAGTAGAGAAGAGTGGTCCGTATAGTAATAGAGGATAGAATAGAAATGGCGATCTGAATAATGAGAGAGGATAGACTAGAATAACGATCATTTAGATGTCACATGACTTCCTATATATGCGTTTCTTCTATGGTCACGTGATCTACTTAATTCAATAATGGGATCGTCTGAGTTTGCTCACTGGCGATCTATGTTGAAACTCAAACGGCACATTATTCGTATATAACACATATTGATAGAGCTTTTAAAAACCAGGAAAATATTTATTCTGACTATAACTTTTGAACTAATTCTTGATTTTCACTGCATTTCTCTATTTCCTCCCCAACTATGGGTTAAATAATAGGAGTTGAATCTGGAAAAGTTGTTATTTTCAAAGAATTGTTAATGAAATATTCATTCAAAAAAAAGAAGTTTATTCTTTTAATTCAAGAAATATGTTTCAGCTTTAAATAACCCACAATGGGTTGATAAGCCTTAAAAAACAATCAATCAGTCCTCAGCAACAGCATGGGTGAGCAAATGTACCCCCACAGTGTTGAAATCCATGCCAGCTCATGTGGAAGCCTCTTGTAAAGGGGACCTAAACTAAAAAATGCACATAAATCTCAAGTAAATAAATTATTGACTAATAATATTGAGAGCTTTAAAAAAAAAGAAACAGATAAATATCAAATTTCTATCAAACCCAGAAAATTATCAGGCAAATGATTCTAATGAGATATTTATTTGGAGTTGTTGAAATGGAATTATTAAAACTAGTTCTCCGGATATTAAAATGTTCCCATTAAAATGATGAATTATTAAACTGCCAGTTCCTCCGGCATGTAAACATTAACATTAAAATGCCAGTTCCTCCGGCATGTAAACGTTAACATTAAAATGCCAGTTCCTCCGGCATGTAAACATTAACATTAAAATGTCACTTCCCCCAGCATGTAAACATTAACATGAAAATGCCAGTTCCCCCGCCATGTAAACATTAACATTAAAATGCCAGTTTTTCCGGCATGTAAACATTAACATTAAAATGTCAGTTCCTCCGGCATGTAAACATTAACATTAAAATGCCAGTTCCTCCGGCATGTAAACATTAACATTAAAATGCCAGTTCCTCCAGCATGTAAACATTAACATTAAAATGCTAGTTTCCCTGAAACAGTTTGAAAGGGCTTCGAAAATGCAGGTCCATCACATTTGCTAATCGATTAATCTAGTACTAGTTGAAATCG